AGTTGGTGGAACATACATGACGGTAAGAGCACATTGAGCACTCGCATAAGCGAGTGAATACAATCTCATTCTATCTAAAGCTCTTCGCCACATTCTCGAACTTGGGTGGTACTTGGCCGAGATTCTTTGTTTTGAAAGGTATGTGAGATCAGACTGTTTCTATTGCCTATGTCAGTTGACATTTCGATTATCAGGGGTTGATTTCTTCAGTGTCGCGACCTGTCAAATCGGGCATGATTTATCTGTAAAAGGTGCGCCCACAGAATTCTGGTCCCTAATAGATTGTCATCAACCACGACTTTGCTCCTAGCCACTGAATGTGTGTCTGAGCATGGAAAGTCGTCGTGCGCAGAATTGGGCGGACAATGCGTTACTGAGCGAGATGGTTATTATATTGTTTCAGCAATATGTCTAGGCTTAGGGGTGCTATCGGTTGTATTCTACATGATTCCCACAGCGCGCAGGCTACAAGGTGTGTCCTTGCTGGTCCAAGTTAGCTCTCCCTGTCCATGTCACCATCTAACAATACTTTGCAGCTATTCCTCCGAGCAAATGGCGGGTCTTCTCATGATAGAAAATATGTATGGGAATTGTCGCTCGTATACATCAGCCCGTGATGTTATTTATTGTTGGGACCGTTGCTATCCTGCACTTGTATATATCAGCTTCTGGGCTGTAGAGTATATCCCATGATAAGTCAGGAGGACATGGATACTTAGTATACAATTTGACAGCACCGAGAGACAGTGACTGTATTGTCGTTAGACGCGCCGGCCCTGAGGTAAGTCACGCTGCCTATTGGTTCCAGGTTTGTGCAGGCAAAAGCACTTTGTGACTTTTCACAAAATATTCTGCATTGCGCTTGTCCTCGTTCTGAGCTCATCTAGCTACTAGAACACACGATCCTGTGCCGTTCCTGACCAAATCTACAAGCGAAATGGCTACGACTACCATGCACTTCGGTCCTGAGTGGATGCGCACGAAGGGTGCATCACGACCCGCACCCTCTCCGCCGCTCACAACTCCAGCCGCGTCTTCTGGAGCGTCGACATATTCTGCGCTGGTGGCCCCTTTGGCTAATACTGCTCCAGAGAGGCCCGATGTCTCAAACCCATTCCGATACTCGAAGGAGGAGATGCTCCGCATCTATAAAGAAGGTGGTGGACGAGGTGGACTAGGCCTTGAGGTGGAAAGATGGGATGGTATTGTTCGTGAAGTTGGATACGATCCTGCCGGATTAAAAGAAATGAGTGAGGCCGAGAAGAAGGTAAATAGCCCGTCCCGCACAACTTGCAGTCATAGTACTTATGTGATGTGCAGATCTTTTCGGGCTCTCTTAATTCTGAGATCCGTCGCCGACAATCTACGGACGTTCTCTCCCCTTTAACGACATCATCAGGAGAGCGACCCAAACTTGGCCATGCGGCTTCGGGCACAGCGAGTCCAATGCGAGATCGCTTTGGAAACTTCGCTGGACGCAGGCGGGACAGCACAGGTAAAAGCTACCGTGATGTTCTGGAGTTAATGCCCACTCTAACGGCCTGAAAAGATCAGGCCCCTTTGTCACTTCCAAGAAAGCTGTCTTTATCATCCATGCAAGGTGCACTGGCGTCTCCCCGTGAGGGAGCTCTCCCGTCGCCTCGGACGCGCATAGGACTAACACCAGGATTCGATGGTGTACTCAGCGAGTCATGGTCATCGCGCCGTCGTACTTCTGAGAGCGCGGTCAAGTCAGGCGTGGATTCAGCAACTCGGAAGGAGAGGGATGTGACTGATCCCGGTAACGAAGCCAAAGGGCCGGATATTAAGGAAGAGGAAGAGGAGAGTTTATCGCAACCTGTAGGTGGCGACGGCGGGTCTGCCACAAAGTCACCATTGGTAACACAGTCGGATTCATTCTCGACGAACGCGACAAGCAATATGCCCGACACACCGAAGGCCGTCGGTGGCGTGGAAAGCGACGTGGCTGGACTGACCTTACGACCCTCAGATGAAGCTCCTTCGGATATTGGAGAGGTCAATGGCAGCTTGGATTCTGCTGCGCCCAAGGCATCGGATACCACAGATCTGGCGAGTATCGAATGGTCCTATCTTGACCCTCAAGGCCAAATTCAAGGTCGGTGCGATTGGTGAATCCCAATGCATGTAGTGTTCACCATGACATTATCTCGTCAGGCCCTTTCCGCGCGGACACCATGCAACGTTGGCATGATGAGGGATACTTCTCTGCAAATCTGCTCATGAGGCGCACTCATCTGGATTCAGAGTGGACGTCTGTTGGCGAAATGACGCGACGTGCTGGAAATGCCCCCGTCTTCCTCACACCTGGCGTCACTTCTACAGCGCCGCCCGGTTTACCTCGCCGTCCTGACCCCTTGCTTGAAGGACCAATTCCAGATTTAGGAAGAGGATCGCCTTTCCAACCCATTCCTATCCAGAATTTAAGGAGCACTACTTTGGATCCGTACTTGCATGGTGGATCAAGCTCATCTGCTTCCCCCTCTTCGTCGTTTGGTGTTGCACGCTTCGTGAATGGTTCCCCCGATCCTGGTCCTCTAGAGCCAAGGACAAATCTTTATACTGAATCCAATGTTGGTCCCCGTTTGGCTGGACTGGTTTCCGGTTCTCCAATGGCGGCCACGCCGAGGCGAACGGCCTTCAATGATCCATTTGACCTGTCTCCTGCACCAAGGTCTCCTTTCGCCAGCACAGCAAATATCAGGATGCCTGCGGATGGTCTTGGTCTTGGTGGTACGCTGTATTGTTTACCATCACGTTCTTGTACTGAGTTGCTTACGGTATATACAGCGATCGATCCCATGAATACCGGCTCTGTGAGTCCCGCTTCGCCGTTCACTACAAACTTCAGTGCTACGGGTGCGATTCATCGACTTTTTCCACCATTGAATATACTAACAGATTGTAATTAGGCAGCCAGCGGGGACCGCAGGAGACGCCCATGACCAACGGACATGCCACGCCTTCTGGTTTTGCAGGGCCTGACTTAGGATTCATTGGTGGACCAGCTGCTCAAGGTGGTGGCTCGCGGATTGCCAATCGTGATGTGTTTAACAATACCACGGGCGACGATGCTTTAGTCTTGAATGGCAATTATATGAATAGCGTCGGGTCATATGCACTCGGCGGGCAACAATATCCTCATAATCAAACTTCTCAATACTCATCAGCTCGAGATAGTCCCTCGTTAAATTCTCTCACTCCATTATCAGAACGGCCAGGTGTAGCAGCGATGTCTGTTAATCACCAAGTTCAACAATCATTTGTACCAACCCCGGTCTTTTCCAACCCTCAGTCGCAGTGGCCTCCGCAAAGTTCTCCTGCTTTGCGTCGCCCAGGTCCTTTTGATCCAGACTATCCTACTACTAACAATACCATCATAACCGGAAAATCCACGATACCCCAGCAAGCTCACAACAGGTTTGCTCGTACTACAGCACCTAATGAGCCTTCTCAGTGGTTTGCGCCGACCGCTCAGGGTACAGTAAGTAGCGCCTGGACAGGAGAATCGAACAGCCTCACTGTTGCCAACCTCGGTCAACATAATCAACAACAGCTGCAAGCACAGCTGCAGGATTCGGACGCCGCTCTTCCGATCGATATTGAAGACCGGCAAATGGAGGAACCTGTTCTTCAGGATAAACAATCGCGACCAACTGCTACTAAAGCTGTCTCACCTATTGCTACACCGTCGGTGGTGGAACTGCCTCGACCCGCCCAGAAATCTCGTCGGAAGTCGACTGTTCAACTATCTCCCTCTACACCGGCGCCACAGCTCAAGGCGCCATCTGCACCAGTCCCTGTAGCGAAACCTCCTTCACCTGCGCCCCCTGTCGAACCCAAACCCGCTTGGAATACGGATGAGGATAATAAGAAGGGGAAGCCATCTGGCGCAACACTTGGTCTGCGCGAAATCCAGGAGGTGGAGATGAAGAAGCTGGAAGCTCGCAAGGCGGCTGATAGAGAACGCGAACGGACCACCCGCGCTGCCGGAGCTGCTTCGCATGTTGAAGACTTCCAGCCTTTCACAGCATCCTGGGGATTGCCGACGTCGCAGGCGGGTGCGGCGCGTAGCACGCCTATGGCCAAGGAAGCTTCTGCTCCCGTCACGCCGACTCTGCCCGTATGGACCAACACTTCTAAGCCTCAGGTTGCAAAGAAGGGTATGAAGGAGATCCAGGAGGAAGAACGGCGTAAGAAGCAAGCTGCTAAGGAGAAAGAGACGGTTGCGGCAGCAGCAAAGAGAGCGCACGCCGAGACGACCAACAAGGTATTTCATTGCTTCTGGAAAGTGTCAATACAATGCTGATGTTGCTCCCCAGAGCACTCCGCCGCAGCTAGCAGGAGGAGTTTGGACGACCGTAGGCGTCAGTGGTAAGGTGGCCGGTCCTGCAGCGTCTACGAACAAACCGACAGCGTCAACATCGGTTTCTTCCACGAAGGTTGTACCAAATTTGTCCCCTGTACCAACGGTTCCAGTGCCCCCTGTCATGGCTCGTGCTTCCTCTACGTCTGCCATCTCATCTCGACCCGCCAATCCTCCTAAAGTTGTCTCAACTAAGACAGACGACTTCCCCGCGCCACCTTCTCAAGAATTCCTAAAATGGCTCAGCGAGTCCCTGAAAGGACTCAACAGCTCTGTGAATTGTAAGTGTCAATTTTTGTCGTTCTCCGTCCCAAACTCACTTTCTGTATAGTTGAGGAGATCACGTCAATGCTACTATCTTTCCCGCTGGATCCCGATCCGTCCACTGTTGAGATTATCTCGGACCTGATCTATGCTAGCAGCACTACACTGGATGGCCGTCGATTTGCATCAGATTTCGTAGGCAGGCGCAAGACGGATGCGGCCTCGCGGCAGAGGACCGGTGTACCAGCCAGTACATCAGTCAAGCCGATATCGATTGCAGAAGTTGTGAAAGCGCAGCCTAAACCGGCTCAATCTGAGTGGGGAGGTTTCAAGGTGGTGAACAAGAAAAAGAAAGGTGGACGCGCATAGGCAGCCGCTGATGGACTTCTACTGGGGATGTTATTTGGGTCGCCGCACATCTATTGAATCTTACTACATCCTAATGACAGTATTCAGACTGTATCCCTAGTCTCGATTCTGTAATCTGCAGGAAGATACGCTCCCATCACTCAAACGTGTGAATAGATGTACCACCGACTATAGGGAGACAGCTACTTATTCACTTCGCCACTCTGGTTTCCAAGGACGAGAAAATTCTCCATTTCCGATGCTGTTAGCCCTGACTCCGCAGGATGATCGTTGAAAAATGCGGTGTCGAACGTTGAGAACGTCGACAGATCCATTCCATTCAAATCGAAATGGGGTTCATGGCCCGTGGCAGACACAGCAGGATGCGAAGAGGAGGGATTGAGGCCGGCAAGAATCGATCCAGGCGAAGGGGCCCCATCCGCTGAGTTAGCAGGAGGCGGGTGAAGGTGAGTGGGGTCACCTGCATTGCTAGAAGGCGGTTGCTCGAGCGATGCGAAAAGGCCCCTCGTATCACCAGCATCAACTGAAGACAAAACATCCAAGAAGACGTCCTCTTCCTCTTTTTTCCTGACGTTTGGAGACAGCCCTGTAGTCTGACTGTTGGTTGTCACGAAGTCTGGTGGTGGTTGAAGGAACTGACCCATCTGAGGTGCATTTGTGTCCATGGTGGTGCCGGACGCAGACACATTACCTAATAAATCCATACTCATGTCCATGTCCATATCAAGGTCCAGTTCGATTGGCTTGTCCGCGGAGCTACCCAATCCAGGGTCCATCCCCGCGGCGGCGGCAGCGGCAGCTGCGACTTCAGCGGCCTGGTGCATGTCTATGTCATCTCCTACTGTAAGATCGATGTCTACAGGGCGACTGGTTGGATCACCTAATGGACCCATGACGAGGTCCTGTGGCATGATCTTGTACGATGACTTCGGCGCCAGTGTAACCGGAGAAGAGAGTCCACTGACAAGGACATCTTCGGGATTCATGCGAAGCGTCGCGGAAGAGAGATCGAGCTTGTGCGGGAACGGCGGGCGTTGAAGAGATGACAGGGATATCGTGGACTGGCGTCTAGCTGGCGTGGGGATCACAGGTTTGGGTGTTTGTCCCCTAGAAGCAGTCTCTGCAGAAGGTCCTGCCTGGATTGCAGATAGGGAAGGCGAGAGCGGCGGAGTCTTTGGTTGCGCGGAATTGTCTATTGGTGGGGGATGCGCTTCCGCTGCAGCTTGAGCCTGTAGCCGCTGCTCCTCACGACGTAGGTCGCGCTGGAGCACGGCAATGGCACGATGCTACTAGTTATTAGCTCAAGCGTGCCGCATGAAATAACATGACTTCACCAGCTGTGATTCCATTGCATCGCAGAGTTGATCGTACTTCTCGATTTCTCGGCCAAGTGAGGCGGTCAGAGAACGCGGTGGACTGGGCGCATACTTGTCTATGCCGCTGCAGGATATCTTTGAGTGACAACTTCTGAGACTTGAACGATATGGTCAGACGCACAGTTTATGAGCATCCGCGTAGAATCCGTAGACCTGGGCTGTCTTTGTAACGGCATTCTATGATGTACTGATAGCTCATAAAAGTGTTGGTGTGCGGAAAAGTACGGCTTACACGAAGACATGTCGAGAGCGCGGTCATCTCTGGCTCAAGGATTCCTTGCGGCAGGGGAGGATCTGGGGGTGGCGGCATAGCTGCACCCCGCGTCCCGTTGAGACTAAGGACGTGGCCTGCTGCTGCAGTGGACCCTTTGCGTTGAGGAGGCATCCTACACGAATATGAACTTCAAAACTTGTCGATGGATTGGGTCAAGACAAAGGGTGAAGACGAACTCGAGCGAAGCCCGGGTGCGGCAGCGGTACCACGACCAAATGTGGCGCGCAGCCCACAGATCACTCAATTCCCACTTGTGTTACGCCCGTTGAATATCCTCTCACCAGTTTGAGCACGACAGCAGCCGAAAAGTGTTTCGCTGAGACTCTGTATCCGACGTCCCCCGTCTACCGCATGCGTCCATCTCGCGTTTGCCGACGTTGTCTCTTTCTGAAGTATCGGAACCGCAGGCAACAGGATATTAGAAGAGACCATGAATGGTTGTCCGGAAACACTCGAGAGCATGTCCAAAGACGATGTCCAAGTCTCTCTTCTCCAAGCCTCGCTCCAGCACACTGTTGAGCCTCCGTTCTTGTGCTATTTGATTCCAGTTTTGAACTGACTGTGAACTGCTAGCGTCGCGTCCGACACGTTACGTCCGTCCAAGTGCGTAACTTGACACCATTTCCAGTGCGGGATGCTTTCGCTTCTGCACTCCAACAACCCTCCGAACAACCGCAATTCACACCTCAGGGCCATTTCTCTGACGACCTCGATGTTACGATTGGCAGGAAGCGTGCGAGAAGGATGTCTTCAACATCCAGTGCTTCACTATCCAACTTGAGGTTTGACGCAGATGGTGAGCCGAACTCAAAGATTGAATTAGGAACGAGGAGAAGAGCCCTTTCCAGAGCAAGCATCTCGGGCAATCCTGGTCCAGCCACAGCGTCTGGTGCAAGCCATCTCCGCAAGACGTCCACAACGACATCTACCGTTCGGACTCCACTCCGCCAACGAGCTCCTTCCGCTGCATCTTCTTCGACCTCGTACACCAGCCTATTTTTCCTGCAAGACCCGCGTGAGGTAGGAGCTTCTGGTTCCTCACGCATTGCCGACCTGTTACAGGATACATCACAGAAGGGCCTCGAAGACGTTTTGCACAGTCGGCTAGTGGAGACCTTCATCACCATAGTTCTGCCTTCTAGTCTGTCAACCTGCGATGATCTCACACCGAAATCTGGAGTTTCTGCGAATACATCTCGATCTCCGCCTGTTTCTCCATTACCGCTGGGCTCCAATATGGTACAAAACTCGGAGTCACTCTCAAAGACGTCAGGCAGGCGGAGCACATCTATTGATGGATCAGGTAAACCAGGCCAATCTGGACCGGCGACGCCGTCTAGGCTACATTCAACTTCGGGCACTCCTAGAGGTATCATACCCAGCATGCATGTCAAATCGGCATCGGCATCCTTACCACGCGGCTCTATGTCGAAATCGAAATCTATCTCTTCTCCATCTGCGCATAGACAGCGTTCTCCTATCCCGGCGCCATTTAAATCGATTCCAACGAAGACCGAGGATACATTCATATCAGGCAGTACGTCTCCCGGAACACCGTCCTCACCAAGCCTGGCGGACATAAATCTAGATGCGGGATACCCAGTACCAGACTACATTTCACCCATACACAGACCTTCTACAAATCCCTCTTTCCAATTCGACGCTAGATTCGGTGGTGAGTTCACACAAGATGTGGACGTGAGCCAGTCGCGTATGCATGTTGAGGTATGGGGTCATGTCAGGCGTGGATTAGGATGGTCACTGAGGAAAGGCGAGAATGGGAAAGGAAAGGGCAAGCAGAAGATGCAGGACGATGAGTTGGAGCTGGAATGGAAAGTGATTCAGAGTTGGGATGTGGACTTGGAAGATTTGATTCCATTGCCGGAAACGGTGAGTTTTACTTCTGCCACTCATATCGCTAGCGTTGCTCACTTGAAACCGTACAGCTCGCAGCTCATCCCTCGCAACTTCCTTCCAACACACTGCTGATAACCTTGTCTCCCCCGGGTCGGACATATTACCTCCCGCTGCCCTCGCAACCGGATTCCCCTCATCCGCTCTCAGCGGACATTGGATATAGCTCTGACCAAGAATCTGAGATCAAGAAGCTCAAGGGCGCAGGCGAGATCATCCTGCCTGAGCGTCGACTTTCCTCGCACAAATTCACTGATGAGCCAGAGCAAGAGGAGGTCAACACTGGGGAAGAATATAGTGCATCCAGAAGGAGGGGGAGGAAGAAGACTGCGTCATGGCAGGATCTCCTCCGGTATGTGCTATCTTCGAATCCCTTGCACACTTTCTGACGTGCTTCCTCGCATCTGGTAGGCTAATCAATCTGCAGGCCTGTATTGTTGATACTCAGCAATCTCTTTCCGAGATTGTGCGAGAGATTGACAATGTCGTAACACAGTCAGGTGCTGGTCTACTAGTGAGTTCCTTCCTAATAAGTATACTTACACATCAGGTATCAATCCGTTTAAATGGGATTTTCTGTCTGACATATGGACTTGCAGCGTCGTGAGCTCTCAGAGCAGGAGGCATGGGTCGGACAATTACATTGTGAGGCGAAATTGCTCCGCGACGAATCGGAAACGGGTACGTATATTGTCGAAGCTTTTTCGGGTGCCTTCCTGATTTCAAAATGTTCCTGAACATTTGACGTTGTCAGTGAAGTCTCAACTTCATGCCCGAAGGGAGAGACTACGGAAACGCAGAGAGATGCTCGCACTAGCGCGTGAGGCAGACGAATCGGATTCGCGTCTGGAGTTTGAACAAGAGGCGGAGCTGGTAAATGAGAGGTCAGTTGCATTAAATTTCATTATGACTCCCTGGTCATGTTCATTGGTGCATAGAGTGCGTCTCGAGGACCTTCGCAGTCAAATTGCGCCCATGCGCAGCGTCCTCCTCACGACACTGTCATTTGTATTTCCGATTGAACTTGTCTCGCCACCCGACCTTCTGTTTACCATCCTCGACGTTCCATTACCAATTCCGCTCGCTCCCACAGATCCTGCACCACCGTTATTAGTGCCTGCCCACAAGGATGTTACAGAAGAGGCCGTAGCGACTGCTCTAGGCTATGCTGCACAGGTTGTGCAATTTCTCGCCGCATATATGGGGAAAGGCCTAGTGTATCCGGTTACCTGTGTGGGAAGCAGAAGCCTGATCAGAGACGGAATCTCGGCGATGGTTGGGCCGAGGATGTAAGTGTGATATTGCTATTTTCTCGTGCCTTCTGAAGGTGCATGTCCAACCAGGTTCCCTCTATTCTCCAAGGGAGTGGATACATATCGGTTTGAATATGGTGTATTCCTTTTGAATAAGGATATTGAGATGGTTGGTACATATTCAAGTTCATACATACATATTGCTTTGCTGACGTTTCTGGTTCATTCCATCCGCTAGCTTATGTCCGATCGAAATTTGCGTGCGTTGGATATGCGACACACACTCCCTAACCTCAAAAACCTCCTGCTGACACTTACTGACAATGAGAGTACACAATTACCGTGAGCCCATTTGGCATCGCTTCCTACAAACGCTATCTCACGTGTTGGACCCTTCACAGAACCCAGCGCTTTTCGACTGCTTCGAGTGTTTCGATTTCTTCGTTGCAATCGCCTGTGCTCACCGCGTCTTCGCTTCCATCTACAGCCTCCGAGCCTCCGACAGATCCCAACTCGGAGCATGATGGCTTGCCTACCGCCGCCTCCCATCCGCCTATAGACGATTCAGAGTCGCCGCCCCGAAGTGGTTCCACTACACCTACAACTGCCTCTACGCGCAGGTCGCGTGCCTTCCTCGACCTTGCTCCTTTTGCTGGCTTCTTGCGCGGACGTTATCCTTCGAGCTCACGGCCGTCTGTGCGCTCAGTGCCGGAATCGCCAGAAGGCGCTCAGGCACTCGCTCCGAGCGCGTCTACTGTGCCCTCCACTCCCACCGTACCGCGAGGTCAGTCTGACGCCGCAGATGACAGCGGTGAGAATGCGGATGACGAGGACGACAGGCGAACAATCCGTGGACGCAGCGAGGCGCCTGACGTTGAGGAGACTGAGAGCGAGGGAAAGGTAGAGGTGAGTGGTAATGGACATGCTGCGCCTGAGGCGAATGGCGCGGCAGAGAAGATGGTGGATCAGCGCGATACACCACCTCTTGTAAACGGTGTAAGCTGATGACAGCTGTGTTTTATTTTAAATCATATGAACTGTCTACATTCTGCGTACTCTATACTTGTATACCCTCTTTAGTGAATGCCCTCAGATCAAGTATGCCTTGACATTGCGCACTGGACGAGAGTTTGTGCTGTTTTGGGTGGGATGTCAACGGACGCCGTCCGGGCCTCTGGTCGCGATATAGCCGTGTAAGACGCGGATCCGAAGACTAACGGCAGTCTAATGACGCGGAGCAGAGAAAGCCTATCGGTAAATGGGAGCCTGCATCCCTGACTTCTATGACTCTTGTGCTGAAGATCTCCTTCGGCGATTGGGACGGACCTGGACGCGAGTTCGCTCGGAGGCTTGGGTCGCCAGCCTCTGCGGGTTGAGGTGGTTGAGGCTTGGGAGGCTGCACGTTCAGTACTAGGTAGCCTGCGTGCAATCTCCTATTATTAGCGGCCACTGCATGCAGGGCGTGAAACGTGTACTGTTCAAGTCCAAGGGATTTGCTGGCGGGATCTGGTGCCGGATCTGAGACGCACCGTGGTGGCGGCCCGCTACACTAGCGGCAGCCTGCCTGGCCTGGAACGACGCCAGCTGTTTGCGCTGACAGCCGACCGGTACTAAGCAATCCGCAAGGCATGCCAGGTACTTTATACCGCGCTCAAATTTGCCTCGACTGGTAGTGCAATAAGTGCATGTAGGGCAATTAGTATGCGAGACTACCGGTGTACGGAGGTAAAAGTAGCTCTAGTGCCGCGGTGGTGGCATTTCGACTTTCTATTTGGGTCTGGCTGGAATCTCGGCAAGGTGTTTTCCGATTAAGAATGCTGATATCGACGTGGGCCATAGCGACGGATGGAGTTTCGCATAGAGCACACTTGGGAAATGGGACCCACTGTCGCATCTGCACGTGATCGTATGCCTGTTTAGCAGCTTCATTTAGTTTGCATGCAACGATCCTGGCGTTATTCGCCCGCGAGTGCGGATTGAATTCTCTCTCCGAGCTCGGCGCGACCCAGGTCCAGAGGTTATCAACCTGTTGGCGCCAAAGTTGTGTGGTGGAAAGGATGGCGGCGACGGTAAAGGTTCATTCAACGCGAGAGATCGCATCCGGGCATTTCGTAAAGAAGGGGGAAATTTTCATGATGGCGCACGACGAGTGAGAGCGCGTACGGTGAAGGCGAGCGACAACCTATATCCACGTTGTGAAGACTCGGGCAAGTTTCAAGGGGCATGGCCGTCGCGTGGCTGAAGCCCAGAATGGTAGTCGGAGACTCAAAAAAGAGGGTCTCCGCAAACGCATTTATGACAAGTCGCGACCGTCCGCGCAGACTGGCCGTGTACTACCGCTAATATCTCGACCGTCCCTGCTGCTCTCTAGCTCAGCCGCAAAAATTGCCCGAGGTAGCTCTCTTCTTCTCTCTCCATCTCTTGCCTCGCTCACCCACTAGTCTTTCAAGCTGTGATCCCACATTGTACCATCAATCCTTATAGACGGGCATAAAATCAGCTGGCAGGTCGGTTTTCGTCTTGCCTCGTCTTGACTCGGCCTCTCACTCTCTCGCCTCGTCCCATGCTCGTCCTATAGGAATACCATTGTGCAATTAGGCTTACTCGTTCCCTATTTTACCCGTATTTGCTCAATCTGTCTTCTGTCCTTCGCCCTTTTGGATCAAAAGTACCAGCTTCGATTGTTCAGTCACTATGAGTACTGCCTTGAACCCATCTAATTCTCCTGCCGATCGTCGCCAGTCCCCCGATGACAGGATACAGAGCCCTCCCGCTTTCCTGGATCTTGCGGACTCGGCGAGTTTCTCCTCGTCTCTGCGGCCTTACGTCTCGACGCTAACCGTTCTCGCTTCTCGCAGGCCGCGCGTTACGGCAGTAATTTACCGGATATTTCGGCTGTGGGTGTCATCTTACGGATGGCGTGCATCATGGCAGATACTGACTATCTGCTGCTGATACAGCGTACCCTCAAGCGTATAGAACACGAACGGCAACGTGCCATGCAGCGCAAAGTGTTCGAGGAACAGATGCGTGTCCTTGAACAACAGCAGGCCAGGGAACTTTTGACCATTCCCGTGGAATCTGCGGCTGCGCTTCAGCATCTCGCCGTTTCTGCGCCCACCACTCCGCCGCGGGTTAATGCCATCCTCAATGACGAGGCTTCCTCAGGTCTTGCTTCGGCACTGTCGTACTCATCCGTGGACGTAGAGATCCTCTCCAAAGCAGTTGGATCGGCCGTCTCTGACAAGCGCAAGTCGGTCACCTACGCGCCTTCCGTGAACCACTCGCCGGAAATGCCAACAGGCAATCACCAAGGCTTTGCTCGCCCTGGAGGAGCCAAGAGCATGCCCGCTAGTCGGCGCACATCGGCCAGTGAGCACGATGAGGAACTTGCTGGTCATTTGCAAGGTCTATCGCTGGCGGGAGAACGCGCAGAGCGTGAACGTTTGACCCCTTCCGGCGCTATCCCTCACTCGATTCTCCGATCGGGCAGTGAACGTCTCTTGTCAGGAAATGGGCAACATTATGGCAACATGTACAATGCTGGGATGATGTTGGACGAGCAATTAGATCAGGAAATGAATGGTACGTTTCCTTGCCTCTTGTCTGGCACTGTGGCAGTTACAAACAACAGGTCTAGCTGCTATGCGTCACCTCCCGACTGCTGATGAGGAAAAGTACTCGAACACGTATTCCAACAAGGTATGTGGGTCTGAGTGGCGCTATACATTCATCGTAGTAACAAAGTTTAATGCAGCTTTCCACCGCATCCGCTGCTCTGGACCTGGCACCGTTGTCACAGACACCGCCCCGCACATCCTTTGTGGGTCGTGCAGCGGACTCTCGGGAGAAGCCGTCTGAATGGCCTCAGTTCAATGGCAATGGTCGGGTAATCGAAGGCTATGGACGTGCCGAGCGCCGCAATGTTACTAATCCGACAGTGAGCCTCTCGAGTGCTGTAGGGGACCTATCGCCTGGGGGTAAGTTGTCGGGTACCGTTTCTGGTACCACAACCCCGCTGTTGCAGCAAATACCTCAAGGGCTCTCCCAAGGTCTTTCGTCGCGTCGGGGATCGCCGCTGGCGTTGTCCGACGGCCTCTCCATTACTACAGCGCGTTCGGTCCCCGCAACGCCTCTTCCAGGCATGCCGAACTCTGGTAACCATCTCGGGAAGGCACCGGGTACCCCGCTCTCGGGTGATGCGCCTGGGGGTCTGAACGGAATCTTGACCGCTCATGGTTCACCTCAAGGCGAGCTCAACTCTTCGCTATCGAGGATGTCCTCTTCGCGTGGTTATGAAGGCGACCCGATGGCATTTAGCCAGGTCCAGGCCGGAATGGATGGTTCCCTTCAGGTTAGTGCAATTGTCGTTCGTGCTATGAAATCTGATCGTGATCTCGCCTGCAGCAATATGGCGTAGATGCGGTTTATGTGAACGGCACTGGTCTGGATAACGGACGATACAACTCGTACGGTTTCGAGGCCAAGGGTCGGCCCCAAGGTGGCACTGGCTCCACTGCATTGTACCATCACCATGGGTCGAGATATGGCCTGGGTATGAACGGTAGAGCCCATGGTGCGGATAGCAAGATGGGCGGTTTGCACGGACCCAAACACAAGCGGGGCGATGTTGACCGGGAATGTTAGTCTACGTCTCCCGATACAGAGCTTCGGTCTCTGACGTTCCTGTTCTTTCAGTTAACAGGTTCGCCGGTACACGCCTCGAGGATTTGCAAGGCGAGATTCCGTCGCTCTGCAAGGACCAGCACGGATGTCGCTATCTCCAAAAGAAGTTGGAAGAGGGTGTTCCAGAACACCGTGATATGATCTTCCGTGAGACCTTCAGCCACTTTGCGGATCTCATGACTGGTATGTGCGGAATCCTAATATTATTGAATGTACCTAATTGTTGGATGTAGATCCGTTCGGAAACTACCTCTGCCAAAAACTGTTGGAGTATTCAACGGATGACCAGCGCAATGTGATTTGCGAGTCGGTCGCGCAAGACCTGGTGAACATTTCCCTCAACATGCATGGTACTCGGGCAGTGCAGAAGATGATTGACTTCCTTTCAACACGCAGACAGGCAAGTCTAGTCCCGGCTAGATTTCACTATATTGCTTACAGGGACGGGCAGACTGACCTCAAATACAATGCTCAGATCCACTCTATCATTCTTGCTTTGAGCCTTCACGTTGTAGTGCTTATCAAGGACTTGAATGGCAACCATGTCATTCAGAAGTGTCTCAATAAGCTTGCCCCGGAAGACAATCAGGTTTGTTCTCACTGCCTACATGTCCCGTTGTTCTCCGATTGATTGGTGAGGATTGGTCAGTTCATCTACAATGCGGTCGCCGCCAACTGCGTGGAAGTCGCAACACATCGCCACGGTTGTTGTGTATTGCAGCGATGCGTTGATCACGCATCAGATATCCAGCGCGTGCAGCTAGTGAACGAGATCACGTATAACGCGCTTACTCTGGTTCAGGACCCATACGGCAATTATGTGAGTATTAGTGTTGATCTGCATGTTTGCAACGAGGACGCTGACACGATCATTTTCGTAGGTCGTGCAATACATTCTTGACCTGAACGATAACCGTTTCAGCGATGCGGTCATTAGGCAATTCACCGGAAATGTCTGCGCGTTGTCGGTACAGAAATTCAGTTCTAATGTTATCGAGAAGGTGAGACATTGTCCGCCGATTAAATTTCTTCTGGTGTTCCTGACACGAAGTTTGTACAGTGTGTTCGTGTGGCAGAGCACAGCACCCGTAAGATGCTCATTGGGGAACTCCTAAACCGCACGAGGTTGGAAAAACTGTTGCGCGATTCTTACGGCAACTACTGTGTGCAGGTATGGTGTATAGCGTGTGGATTATCACATTTCTGACTGAGAACTTGCCTGTCAGACTGCGCTGGATTACGCGGAACCGAGCCAGCGGGCCCTGCTCGTGGAAGGCATCAGACCCGTCCTTCCTCTCATCCGAAATACCCCGTACGGCAAGCGCATTCAGAACAAATTGCAACGAGAACACCTGGACGGGTTTGGCGGGGGAGGCGGATACCAGCACCTCGGCAACCAAAACATGGGAATGGGGCCTGGCCATGGCGGCCGTCACATGCCGCATCAGGCGCTTCACTCGCCTGGCGGGATGGCTGACGCATACAGCGCACCCAACGGGCTGTATGGCGGCCACGGCATGCAGGCACAGGGTCAACTCCACGCCGCTCAATTGCACGGCATGCAACCGCATGGCATTGACAGCTATGTGATGCAAGGCTCGACAAACCACAGTCCGGGCCTCACACCGCCTCCGCACGCCCACGCCAACTCGTTCTCGCAGTACGGCGGGATGAACTCCTTCCCCGTAGGCGTCGCCGATCCGTACCAGCGCTCGTACGCGTACGGCATGTAAATCCCGCGGTCGCACCGCTCCAAAACTGTCGTCGCCTCAACGCACGTCTCTCTCCAACAAACGCTACGAATAGTCGAATCCTAGTCGCTCTTTCTTGCATCGTACTAATCACCGCTGCATCCCGCCCCGCCGCGGGACTATACCTATGCTGCTACGTGTCGCCGCCCGCCTTCGCGGTGCGCCGACACGCGCCCTCACCTACTACTTACTATGTTCCTTTAGTTGGGCTTGAACGCCGGGCACACGTATATTACCACCACCCATCGCGCATTTGTATTTTGCACCCGCATCCCATCCAGTCACACACATCTCGCTCTTCTCGCTTTCCGCGTTTTCGACCGCGACCTATACAGGCATATACAGACCCTTTCTTGCTTGATACATGTTCCGCCTCCCCCGCCACCCGTTTGTACTCTTCCCTGTACAGCGTACCTTTTTGCATCCATTCCTAGGTCACGTAATTTGTCTTATAGTATCCCATCGAGCGTCTGCTTGCTTGTCATGTCTGTAGTCATTCTGCAATACGATATGTTTGGTTGTCGGTTGTTCTGCGATTTATCTGGCGTGCCGGCGTGATCCCCGCGGAGCAGAGTGGGCACGCCCTCCATCCAACCTGCGCCCCTGCAGGCGGCTGTGGACACCCGCAAGATATCGGCCGGGGGCGCGAATAGCAACTGCGAGAAGCATCAAAAATCCATTGAGCACGCATGCGTGTATGCACGTCGCCGTGCGCACTCGGGTCGAGTCGAGAAGGGTATCCACGGAATACACATGTACAAGAGAAAGCCGCGAGTCGACTACGTAGATCGTGTGTAAATTCAGACCAGCACATAAATTACTATAACAGTATCCCCCCCCCTCCGCCGCCGCCGCGTCTACCGCAGCCGCATCCGGCGCAACAGCCCCGCCAGCGCGCCCTCCCCGGCCTGCTGCTGCTGCCCCGCACCATTCTGCCCCTCGTCCGCGTGAGACTGGTGTGCATGGCTGTGTCGGTGGTGCAGGCTCAGCCGGTGTCCATGGTGCCCGTGCTTGCGGTGCCGCCGCGCCGCCCGCGAGCCCGTGAACGAGCCCGGCATCTCGAGCTCCTCGTCGCCGTTCTCGAGCGACGGCCGCCCTGCGGCCGAGCCCGAGTCGGCCGAGCGGCGCGGGACCGACGGCGCAGCGTGGTCGTGCTCGCGGTCGGATGTCGTCCCCACGATCGGTCCTGCCGCAGAGGCAGTCTCAGGTGCGGACGCCGAGGCCACGGACGACGCGTGTGCGCGCGTGGCGTGCAGCTCCAGTGGGACCTCTGCGTGCAGCGGGGGCTGCGCAGACTCCTCCTGCTCGTGGCGCAGCGCATGGCCCGAGCTCGGACGCGCGACAGGCGTAGCGTGTATATCTGCATTTGTCCCATTCGGGCCACCCGCGCTGTGCACGGGTGGGGTCGCGTGTGCATTTTCGGGCGCGGTGCTATCTTTCTCTTCTGTGGCGGCGCCGGCGTGGTGCTCCTCCGCAAGCTCGTCATCGTCGCTATCGACTCCGGCGGGGCTGCCATTTTTCCAGCCGCCGCTGCTGCGCGACGCGAACGAGCCGAGGCGATTGAGAGCAATTGTGCCTGTGATGGCGGCCTTCCAGCGCGCTCTGGGGTTGAACTGCTCGCGCAGCCCACAGAGGTCGTGTTCGGTCGATGGCGCATGCGTCGTGAGCCACTGCGGAAAAGGGTGGTCAGCACCACAGGCCGCGAGGACGAACAGGGCGGCGGCGGCAACGCAAAGGAACGTACGCGGTGGTGTAGCGCCTCTTGGGCCGTAGGCCGCTTGGCAGGGTCGGGGTTCAGAAGTGACCTGATGAAATCCTTAGCTGTACACGAGATATCAGCTACTGATGCACGAGATGGAAGACAGACGGCGGGATCGCACCTTCGGCAGAGATGTTCGCCCAGTAGCGTTCATGAAACTCGACCTGGGCCTCGGTCGTCTCGCGGATCAGCTCCGCGTTGTCGTCCGAACGGAAGGGTGAGTACCCGCACAGGAGGACGTATGTGATGATCCTGTGACAGGAACGCGGATCAGCGATCGTGCATATATTGATCGAAAGCAAATGTGAAATACACAGGGATGGCGGGGAGGAACGTACCCTGCGGACCAAATGTCGACAGCTGTACCGTGCCCGGTGCCGTTGAGCACCTCGGGGGCAGTATACCCCAAGCTGCCTGCAAGGGAGCGGAGCTGCTCGTCGTGATTGTGCAGGTGTTTCGCGCTGCGAGGTGCAATTAGTATGCGGTGTGACAGACGGAGTGATGGATACTGACATGCCAAAGTCGACGATGACGATGTCTGAATGCGAGTCTTTTGTCCGATATAAGATGTTTTCTGGCCTGCGAAAGGGTCAGACGGGTAAAGTGAGGTTATATATCAGGGCTCACTTGAGGTCCCGATGGACGATGTCGTGGGCATGCAGGTACTTGACGCCAGAGAGTATGGATCTGCGTCATTGATCAGTAAGATGACTCTTGGATAGGGTAAATAGGCACGAAGACGAGAAATTGAGAAAGTGACGGGCGTTTGCATGTCCGCTCGGCAGGTGCCGAAACCAGACTATATGCGCTCGACGCATTCGAGTCGTCTGCTGGCGCGTGACAGCGTCTGACGGAGAACTGAACCACCGGAGTGCAGGCGGATGGCGTTAACAAGAAAGAGGACGTACTTGAGCACAGCGACTGCGTCGAGTTCTGTGAACTTTCCGCGCTGAGTGATGCGCTCGAAAAGTTCTCCGCCAACGGCGAGCTCGAACGCGAGATAGTATTTTGAACGCGACTCGAACCACTCGTAGAATTTAACCTGGGACGCGATGGGGTGAGCTCACGAACGGAGGGAATGGAACGCAAGGGGGACGGACGATGTTGGGGTGGTCAAGGCCCTTGAGGACGTCCATCTCGCTCCATACGCTTTCCTCATTGCCCTTGACCTTCTTCTTTGGGATGACCTTGAGGGCGACGTCGACGGTGAGGCCCGAGGGGTCGTGTTTGTCCTTTTTCGCACCGTTGGGGTGGAGAAAGTGGGAAGCGGTCTGACCTTTGGCGGAGAGATAGTTGAGACTGGAGGTGGTACTGGAGCGCGAGGGCGTCGGGCGGGATGAACTGGAGGTTAGTGGGGAATGAGTGTGAGAATGAGAGGGGGACGAAGTGGGGGGAGTGCGGTGGGAGATGGCAGATGGAGAAGGAGAGTCGGCGGCGGCGGCGCCGTGTCGGGCGATTTCTACAGAGTCAGGGGGGACATGCCAGGTCGCGCGCTGGTATGGGTGAATGGCGGATAGGAGAAGAGCGACGGGGAAACACTGACCATGACTTTTCCAAAGGCGCCTTCTCCGAGGACCTTGTGGATTTCATACGCTTTTTTCTTCTGAAACGAGGGGGGCTGGGGGAGCAGCGAGTCCTTGAGGGATAGGGCGGGCATTTTTGGGATGAGGACGAGGAGGACTGGGAGGGAGAGGGTTAGGAGGAGAACGAGCGCATGCGCTGGCAACAAGCGGGGGCGGATAAGAAAAGGCTGTGCGAGATATCGGGCGAATTATTGGGATGGAATGAGAGGGTCAACGACCATCGCCGACTTGGACAGGCGGAAGGGAATCCGAGTCTCGGCCGCTGTGAGCGCGGTGACGAACCAGCACCAGCCTCCTCGGGGGTCAGGCACCGATCTCTTGGCACCCCCCTCCGACACCCCGCCCGCCTTCTATTCAATTCAATTCAAGTTGGCAATATCACATATTCCAAATGTATATGTATGTATACATCGACTGTTCATCCGTCCCATTGACATTGTCGAGTCATGTGACCCCGCCTTTTAATTGGGCGCTTCAGGCCGCCTTGCCCCTGCACGCCGCCATGCCGCCATCCCCCATCTGGCAAGCGTCCTCGCCCCCGCCCGAGGAATGGGAGTACCAGGACGAGGACCGCCAGTGGCAACACAACGGCGTTGTCGGCGAGGAAATCGATGCCTTTG